TGGCGCTCCCTCAGTACTGACCCTCTGACTGTGTGGCATTCCCTCAGCAGTGACCCTCTGACTGTGCAGCATTCCCTCAGCATTGACCCTCCGACAGTGCAGCATACCAGTTGGCACCTAATATCCCAGAGTAATCCCCCTGCTTTCTGATCCCACAGAAGCAGCATGTCCAGAGATACAGATTCCCCTTGTGGGGAAATGGTCTATGACTCGCCACAACAAATGGTTAAATTTCAAGTCAATGAAATATCCCACTAAAATGAGAGTTTAATGGCAGCGGTGTAATCGTAAAACCCTAATGATTCTTTAGAGGAAAGAAATCAGCCAGCCTTATCCAGTCCAGCCTACATGTCACTCCAGACCCACAAAGACATGTTTGATGGAAATGGCCTGGACAGTTCAAAGCTATGTCGAAACGTGAACCAAAGGCTTGTCTTGCCAACAACGCCCTCAACCCATGAAAGCACAAAGAGAGATCTGGATAAAGTAGAACTTCATAAGGTCACACACAGCATGGGGGAATGGGCAGACATACAGCAGATGAAATTAAATATAGCAAAACAAAAGGTGGATTGACTTGTTCATAAGAACAGTGAGGGACAATATAAATCAAACAATAAATTCTACAGGAGGGGCAGGAGCTGAGAAATTTCAGAGAATGTGCACACAGAAGTTATTGGGGTGGTGAAGAAAGGGAGAAAACACCCTAAGTTTTGTTTAGCGAAGTATTGAATCGAAGAGTAAGGAAGCTATGGTGACCCTTTGGAAAATATTACATCAGTCTCTGCTGGAGCATTGTGTTTAGTTCTGGGAGAAGGTGCAGAAAAAACTCACGAGGATGATTCTCTCCTGAGGAACTTCAGTTACATGGACAGATCACAGAAGTCAGAACTGTTTCTTCCCAGGGAAAGCTGAGAAGATATTCAATCAAGGGATTGAGTGGAAAGGGGGCAATTATTCAGTGGACACCAAGGTGGTTAACCAAAGAAGAAATGGGGGAATGAGGGAAAATCTCTTCATGCAGCAGCACGTGGTCAGGGTCTGGAATGTACTGTCTGAGAGTGTGGGGGAGGCACGTTCACTCGAGCGTTTAGGGTCTGGGATGTACTGTCTGAGAGTGTGGGGGAGGCAGGTTCACTCGAGTGGTTAGGGTCTGGAATGTACTGTCTGAGATTGTGGGGGAGGCAGGTTCACTTGAAGCTATCAAAAACGGGAACTGGAAAGTTACCTCAAATGGAAAAGGAGGAATGGCTGGGATGGGGGCAGCAGAGGGCCAGCACAGACGGGCTGAACGGCCTCCTTGTGTCCTGTCAGCATGCTGTGCATATGCCACGGTCTGACTGCCCCATTTATATAATCCCACATCCCTCCGTGGGGCTCTTAAAACAGATGTAACTTTTCCAGTGCAGCAGCATGTATAGCATGTCATTACATGCAGAACAGCTCCACCTTCCCGTTCATTGCCACTTACCGAGAGCCAGCACAATACTCAGAACCAGGGTTGCTGCTACAAACACCAGGAGGGTCCCTTTCAGCAACGTCCTTTGGTATCTCCCCCTCACAGGCTTTGGACTCTCCAACACCTCCATTTGTATGATGTGCACAATCTCCTCTCTGTCTCTCTCTCTGAGTTTGTCCTGGGAAAAAAATCTCGAGCAAAGTGTTTAGCTTGAGGTAAGGAGTGGTATCTACATTGCAGTATCCACACACACTGTGTGAGAGACCAGGAGCTGTCACTGCCTGTTCTCCCTCTCCTGGCTGTGTCTGGCGAGACTCTTCGATTTCTGTTTACACACAGCTGCCCTGAGTGACAGCCCAGCGGTTTATCAAATCGCAAACTGTATGTGTCCCAGTCAGACACAATATCCAATCCATCTTCAGACCATCAAAACAAGCAACAATGCAGACAAATGTCAGCACCACAGCACTCTGAACCTTGTTCATGAGGTAGGCAATTTCTCATCTTTCAGTTACCTCGAATTGCAATGTGCAGAAGCTATTTTCTGACGGAGAGATTTTTCACATTGTCATATGCTTTCCGTTTTCTGAATGTACTGGACAGATTAACTTGCCCTGATTTGGGAATCAGAGATTGCTCCTCCAGCACAGCACACTGCCAAAGCCCAGGGACAGTCTCCTTATAAAAGCACACAAACTTGGTCTTTCAGTCTGCCTCGGAAGTTCACACATTATTTCTGATCACACTGGTCGTCACTGCCTCATAAACTGGTGCGCACACATCAGCAACAACTCTAAACTGGACAGAGCTAGCTGTCAGGGTTAACACAGGCTACAGAGATTTCCACACTGCTCCACCATTCACAGTTACTGTCAAAGTCACAGAGAGGTGACATTGCACTGGTGATAACAAATCCAGAACCCTCCAACTCGCTCCTTCCTCCCTCTCCCACCTTGCCCTCTCTTCCCTCCCCCCAATCCTCATACCACTTTTTCCCTCTTCCCTCCTATTACTCTATTACACACTCTCACACCTCCACTTTCTTCCTGCCATTTCTCCACTCCCACTCCCTCCCCTCTGACTCTCTTCCATCCATCTCCCTTCCACATCGACCCCTCCACTACCTGCCCTGCCACTCTCACCTACTGGCCGGCCCCATCACACTCCCACCCATGACACCCCTTCCCTCCCACTCTCAACACCTATTGCCTCTACCCTGTTCCACTCCCCTTCTCAATCCCTCCATCCCCCTCCACTGTCCTACCACCCCACCTCCTTCCTGAAAAAGGCCACACTTGAGAGCCTGAAGGAAGCATTCAAACATGAAAAGACCTAGGTCCAGCTGATCAGTCACTCACCAGTTACATCAGTCAGAGTAGGGCTGGATTATGAACACAATCTTCCCTAATGAATCAAGACAGGGGTGCAATTGTAATGACACTGGACTACTAGTCTTCTGGGGACTAAAAACAGAGAAACAGAGTTGAGTCTGCTACAACACTTTCAGAACTGAGCGTGGTCGAACAGAAGAGGAGGAGCAAGTGGAACAGATTGGGAGGGCAACGAGAACAAAATACAAAGGGAGTACTACTGGTGGTAAAGAAGGATTGAGGTATAAAACAGGTCACAGAGTCATACAGTCATTGAAATATACAGCACAAACTTGGTCCAACTCATCCATGCCGACCAGATATCCAATATAAATCTTGTCCCATTTGCCAGCATTTGGCCTATATCCCTCTAAACCCTTTCTATTCATGTACCCATCCAGGTGCCTTTTAAATGTTGTAATTGTACCAGCCTCCACCACTTCCTCTGGCAGCTCATTCCATACACGCACCACCCTCTGTGTGAAAATGTTGCCCCTTAGGTCCCTTTTATACCTTGCCCTCTCACCTTAAATCTATGCCCCTCTAGTTTTGGACTCCCCCACCCCAGGAAAGGACCTTGTTTATTTACCCTATCCATGCCCCTCATGATTTTATAAACCTCGAAAAGGTCACACTCCAGGGAAAATAGCCCCAATCTATTCATCTCTCCCTATAGCTCAAACCCTCCAACTCTGGCAACATCCCCATAAATCTTTTCCGAACCCTTTCAAGTTCCACAACATTCTTTCCCATAGCAAGGAGACCAGAATTGCATGCAGTATTCCAACAGTGGCCTAACCAATGTCCTGCACAGCTGCAACATGACTTCCCAACTCCTATACTCAATACACTGACCAATGAAGGCAAGCATACCAAACGCCTTCTTCATTATCCCATTTACCTGCGACTCCACTTTCAAGGAACTATGAACCTGCACTCCAAGGTTTCTTTGCTCAACAACACTCCCCAGGAGCTTACCATTTAGTATACAAGTCCTGCCCTGATTTGCCTATCCAATTTCGCATTTACCTAAATTAAACTCCATTTGCCACTCCTCAGCCCATTGGCCCTTCTGATCAAGATACCATTGTACTGAGGTAACCTTCTTTGCTGTCCACTACACGTCCAATTTTAGTGTCATCTGCAAACTTACTATCCATACCACCTATGTTCACATCCAAATCATTTATATAAATGATAAAAAAAACAGTGGACCCAGCACTGATCCTTTTGGCACACTGCTGGACACAGGCCTCCAGTCTGAAAAGCAACTCTCCACCACCACCACACTCTGTCTTCTACCTTTGAGCCAGTTCTGTATCCAAATAGCCAGTTCTCTTTCTATTCCACGTGATCTAACCTGACTAGCCAGTCTACCCTGAGGAACCTTGTCGAGCACCTTACTAAAGTCCACACAGATCACATCCACTGCTCTGCCCCCATCAGTCCTCTTTGTTACTTCTTCAAAAAGCTCAATCGAATTAGTAAGGTAAGATTTCCCACTCACAAAGCCATATTGACTATCCCTAATCAGTCCTTGCCTTTCCAAATATGTGTCAATCCTGTCCCTCCAACAACTTGTCCATCATCAATGTCAGGCTCACCTGTTTATAGTTCCCTGGCTTTTCCTTACCACATTTCTTGAGTAGTGACACAACGTTAGCTGACCTCCAGTCTTCTGGCACCTCGCTTCTGGCTATCAATGACATAAATATCTCAGCTAGGGGCCCAGCAATCACTTTGCTCGCTTCCTAGAGTTCTAGGATACACCTGATCAGGTCCTGCAGATTTATCCACCTTTATGCGTTTTAAGACATCCAGCACCACCAACTTTGTAATATGGCCACTATTTATTTCTCCACATTCTCTAGCTTCCGTATCCTTCTCCACAGTAAACACTGATGCAAAATACTCGTTCAATGTCTCCCTCATCTCCTGTGCTTCCACACATAGGTGACCTTGATGGTCTTTAAGGGGCCCTATTCTCTCTCCAGTTACCCTTTTGTCCTTAATGTATTCATAGAATCCCTTTGGATTCTCCTTAACTCTATTTGCCAAAGCTGTTTCATGTCTCCTTCTTGCCCTCCTGATTTCTCCCTTAAGTATACACCTACCGCCTTTATACTCTTCTGGGGATTCACTCGATCTTTGCTGCCTATACCTGACATATGCTTCCTACTTTTTCTTGACCAAAACCTCAATTTGTCTAGTCACCCAGCACTGCCTACACCTACCAGCCTTACCCTTCACCCTAACAGGACATACTGTCTCTGGACTCTCGTTATCTCATTTCTGAAAGTCTCCCCATTTTCCAGCTCTTTACCCACAAACATCCGCCCCCAATCAACTTTTGCAAGTTCTTGCCTAATACCATCAAAATTGGCCTCTCTCGCTCATTGAAATAAGTGCAGTTTAATTTATCAGTCCTACCTTGTTCTCTGCTTTGTCCCTACCTGCCCTGTCTGTTTGACTTATTCCTTTTCCTGTATCAGGATCAGACTGCTCTCCTTCCTCACCATCTCTCTGGGATACCCCACCCCCCCCCCCCCCCTCCTCACTACTTTAAATCCTCCGAAGCAGCTCTAGCAAATCTCCCCACTAGTATATTAGTCCCCTTCCAATTCAACTGCAATATTCCTCCTATGCTGGTCACATCACTTCTAACCCCAGAAGAGATTCCAATGATACAAAGATGTGAATCCCTCTCCCCTGCACCAGCTCCTCAGCCACGCATTCATCTGCTCTATCCTCCTATTCCTATCCTCACTACTTCGTGGCGCTGAGGGAATTCCAGATATTACTACCCTGGGGGACCTCCCTTGTATATTCCTGCCTAACTTCCTATATTCTCTCCTCAGAATCTAGTCCTTATCTCATCCTCTGTCGTTAGTTCCAGTGTGTACAACAACTTCCTGCTGGTCCCTCTCACCTTTCAGAATATGCTGCACCCTCTCCAAGATCCTGGCACCGGGGAGGCAATACACCATTCTGGTGTAAATGAAAAAGTGTGGATAGGAGAGAATGGGTCTGCTTTGCTAAGGGCAAAGGCCTCAAGGCACAAGCAAGAGTCATCTGGGGAGGTTGAGAGGGTGGAGCGGGGCAAGTTGTAATCAAATTGGAGGAGAATTTCAGTACTGTGAGACTTTTGATTTCAACATTGAGTCCTAAAGGCTGTGAGGTGACAAAGCAGTAAACGAGGTGCTATTCCTCCAGCTCGTGTTCAGCTTTGCTGCAACACTGTAGTACGTCCAGGACAGAAATGGTGAATGGCTTGAGATGGGAAATTAAAGGTGTTGGTGCTCTCATGTATTTGCTGCCCTTGTCTTCCTACATGGAAGTGGTTGTGGGTTTGGAAAGTGCTGTCTGAGGATCTTTGGTGAATTTCTGCAGTGCATCATGTAGATAGTACACACAGTTCCCACCAACCGTCAGTGGTGGAGAGAGTGGATGTTTGTAGATTTTATGCCAATCAAACGGGCTGCTTTGGTCCTGGAGGGAGTCAAACTGTTTGAGAGTTGTAGGAGCTGCACCCATCCAGGGCAAGTGGGGAGTATTCCATCACACTCCTGACTTGTGCCTTGTAGATGGTAGACAGGCTTTGGGGAGTCAGGAGGGGAGTTACTCACTGCAGTATGCCTAGCCTCTGACCTATCCTGCAGTCACTGTTGAACAGATTAATCTTTTAAATACATTGCCCCATGACATTCAATGGATTACCATTGTGGAGTCCCTTACCATCTACAGCCTGGGGATTACCCTTGAACAAAAACAGAAGCCAAGACACTGGGTCATAATCCTGGAAATTCCTCCCAACCGCATTTGAGAGGTCAATACAGTGCGGAACTGGAGGAACACAGCAGGTCAGGTAACATCAGAGAAGCAGGAAAGTCGACGTTTTGGGTCAGGACCTATTATCCTGATGAAGGGAGGTTTTATGAAGTCAAGGTTGTAGCTTTTGATCAAAAGGATAGTCTGAAAATGCGTCCTGCACCCAGTGAAATTGTTTGGAGGATCCGGCACGTTCCAGTTCCTTATCAGCTGATAA